CTCATGTATGAGACTTTATATATTTTTATAACAATTTCACATAATAGCTCCAAGGTTCATGGGAGGCAAATAAAGACTGGAGTTCAGTATTTTTTCAGGATACAATCCTTTCTGTGGTCTTTCTTTTGGAATTTATGCAGGAAATTTCACATGCCACGTGAACAAAATGCCATGTAATTAAAATGTAAATTCCCAGTGTGCAAGTAGCCTGTTTGGGTAGATCGTTGGTCAAACATTTTTTTGGCACCATATTTATTTTTAGTACTTATTTAATTAGTAACATTTCTTCAGATATCTGTCGTTAACCTTTGATTATTTGTGCTTTTTTGTGGCATGCTAAATTAAGTGTGATTGAGATAAGTGGCGTGTGTGACTTTAGTGGTGCTAAAAGCGTTAGTGCTCTGTCCTTTTTTTGTGCAATTTTTGCATTCTACTGCAATAAATACTTAACTGTTAAATCCGTATTCCTGTGTCTCCAAATTTAGCCTATGTCACTTTGATCTCCTTGTTTGATGAACAGCGTATCCGGTGGTGGGAACACCCCCTTTGGGAAGGTAATCTGGTGTGGTCTCCTTGTGTGATGTGGTTTGGAGAGCCATTGTTTTTTTTTTACACACATGCCAAACTACACTCAACTGGTCAATTGCACACACACAATTAGTCAAACACTCAAACATGCATACATAACTAAGCAATCACTCACACCTGATCCTGATCTCTTCAGTGTTCTATACTTGGTGTCAGGTGGGGAGCACTGAGATGGACATTATATGATGTCATATCTTCCTCACTGATAGTCAGGGTGCTCTGCTCAGGAGCCATCCAAGGAATATAGATGCTGCACATTTACTCACCGTCACTACCAAAGATGAAAACCTGCGTCCCTCAGTATGGTGCAATACCTGTGACCAAATTCAATATTTATCTAGCTTAGCAAAGCCAGTCAGTTCCTGTTGGCAGAGTACTGGGATATATATACATACATGTAGTCAGACTCCTTTTCTGGTTAAGTCAGTGCCTCTTCCAAAATATCTACTCTTTTAGAAGTATCACTTATACAGCGAAGCTCTGCTTTGAGTTTACCTCCTGGAGTGCACTTCTGGGAAGGACAACAGACATGTCTTGTTTTTTCAGGTTTGGGATCTTCACTGATTCGCGGGGTAAAGTCTCTTTGTGGCTTCTGGCAATGGGGCTGATATGTTTTGCACAAGTATCATGCAACCATCACATGCACCTAATGGACCATCAAGCTCTAACTATGTAACTGCAGTTAAAATTACAGACCGGGATGGAATGTCCTCTGAAATGCTCCAGAAACCCAGATTCCGAGCATTGCTGCCTGTTATTCTGTCAAATCCCCTCCAGCAGAGACACAGTTAAGAAAAACTTGGAATTTCTCCCTTCAACCCATATACAGTTACAAAGAAAATTTCCAGGGCAGGAGGGAAATCCGTATCTGTTTAATGTGCCTCGATTATAATTCGATAATCCAAAAATGGCAACGCAGACCTCACACAGCGCCAGTGGGCATGGTTTATATATCACATTGAGGAGAGACCAGGACTGGTTCAGAATATTGCAAGCCCAGCCTGGATTAATTAATCTTAATATGGAACGCATCAATGTATATTTTAAAAGACCAGTATATTTAAACCAAACTAAAACTGGATCCCAATGAAAAAAATTTACAATAGAAAAAAGGGATAGCTCATTGTTCTGCCTTTTTACTAATTATCATTAACCTTTGTTTTTCAGGTTTTAACCACATATTTCAGTTGTGATTGTGACAGAATATAGTAGCAGAGCTTTCTCTGTTTATCCGATAGACAATCCGTAGATGGGTAGACATCATTAACTATCGGCACTTACTGACATCATTAGAACTTTACATAGTGACATCATATGCTTCAAACATTCAATGACATCATTAATTATTAGACCATATCGACACCAATCAATGTTGGCTCTTAATGACATCATTGTTTATTATCACTCAGTGAAATCAGTCGATATAGAAAACTTAATCACCCACTCATTGGGTAATGTTATTTTGTTCAGAAACATATTTGGGGGGTCAAGATTGGACCACCCAATCTTATAGAGATTTCTTAAAGGAAAGCTATTGTCTTTTTTTAATATTATTATTATTATTGCTATTTTTGCAAATGATGATTTTATGCATTGCAGCCTCTGTGTGTATTATTTTGCAATATACGCATTATATTCTAAAAATATTATTAAAGTATAGTCAAAGCCTTTATATATGGCTAGACCTATCAAGGCCTAACTATGATAGATTCCCAAATAGGAGGAGGGGAGAAGAAAGAACAAACAGGAAAATTATGAATTGGTGGAGAAATGTAGAAGATAGGACTCACATATAGAAAGAAGGACACACAAATAATAGATCACAGAGCAAGGTGGTGGGGGAACGGGAGAGAAGAGAAGGGGAGAAGTCAACCATCTCCTACCGTGACTAGATCTAGACAAGAGAGGAGTACTGTGCATGATGAATTGTACAGTGCGACAACAGAATTATTTACTAAGCTGTCACTTACCTCAAATTTAAATAGAATGTCCAAATTTAAGCAAAACTCAAGCGATTCTACCAACTTTAACATTTCGGCCTAAACTTTGAAATACTCCACTCATCGAAATCCATATGAACTTCCTGTAAGATAATTACGGTGAGTGTAGGGCCAGGTGAGAACTTCAACTAACATTGGACAGAATGCTCTTGGCATCAGGCAGGTATATGTGAGCATAATCCTTGTGAAGACTGCTGACCGTAGACCCTGTATAACTAAAGGAACTTAGTTAAGGGAAATCCTGTGGAGGCAGGAGCTTCTGTCATAGGTGCAACGAAAAACGCATTTGTACTTGGCGTTCGGTATACATGGTGGTCCAGAAAAAGGCACCGTCTCTATATCTATTTCCTTTATGTTAACGATCTTTTGTGTTAATTATAGGTTAGTAGCCATAAGGCATAGGTTAGCTGACCCTAAACTTACAGTACTTGTCTTACAATAAGGTGATAAGCAATACATTTCAATGAGTTGAAAATATTTCCAGTTTTTCTAGCCAATAACACAGTGTTTAGTAAATCATGTGACTCAAGCAATAAATACATTTCTTTAAAAATCACACAATCTGTCACTTTTTTAACCTTACTTTTAATAAAAACGACTCCACTTGTATGGTGTAAGGCACGTTTGAGACACTTTTGAGACACTAAAAAAATATAAGAGATTCCGAGCTGCTAAAGAATACTTTGTAGCTAATATAGTTTTTACATTCACTTCCCCACGAGAGGTACACTGTATATGATCTGCCTGTATAGAGTATAAATACATAGGGATAATATTTGAAAAGTATGTGATTTTCACCAGTTTAGAATTTTTTTTTTTTGTTTAGAGCTCTCTATACTAATTAATGACATACACAGTTTATTGAATAAGCTTGCTGCTAAAGCACTTGTAGTATCACAATATCACAATACGTTGAGTTAGATTTTAAATTGCCTCTTATTCTACATTAGTAACAGTAATAGCCTCTATCCACCAAGGCCGGCAGTATTTCCAAGACCCCAAATCCTTCCTAATCACATAAAAAATCAGGTGTTGCCAGATCAGACCTTGCTTTCCAACATATTGTATTACGGGGCTTAAAACAAGATACTTTAATCAGTTCAGAATGGCAATTTTATTTTATTTTTTATTGGGTCAGACTGTGGCTTGTTGCGGCATATTCGTTACACAACAAATTATACACTTATTCAGCAGCAGATCTAATTTCCTCAGTTGAAACTCAAAGTCCATCTGGAATATATAGAGAGAATGCAAATCACAATATGTTGATACATTATATCAAAATTAAAAAGGGTTAGTTATGCAATATAGGGTTAATGTTTACTGGTTGTGCAATGTAAACATATTTAACCAGTTTACACAATAGATTGCACTAGTTTCTTGGGTAATCCATTTACTCAAATTATAAACTAGAATTAGCAGGAAAGCAGTCCCCAGTACACACTACACCTCCACTCCTAGATACACACACACAATGCACCCTTATACACACTACACGCTCCATCCATACAAACACACTATACCCTGTAATACACACATGTACACCGTAACCTCTATACACACACACTACAACCCCTTTACACACCAAGATTACAGTCCCTATACACATACATACACACAGATCCTAAATACTCACGCAATCAAACCCTATACACATACTGTTACACACTGCAGCCCCTATACACACATGCACACACTCTACAGCCCGTATACACACATGGCAGCTCCTACTAACACACCCACATTCTCAACAGCCTCTATACACACATTATCTACATTCCTAATACATGCAAACACTCACACACACTACAGCACCTATCAACACATAGTATACCACAAACAGATCCCTTTAAACCACTACACCACAAACAGCCCCTTCTGCACACAAACACACACACACAATTTACAAACACATACAACACCACAGGTAACCTCCCAGCACATGAAACACACACTTTACTAGCCCTGTCAAATGTCGTCTTCTGGTATCCCACTTATCCCACACCAGAGACAAGACACCAGCAAACACAGCACAAGCATGTCTTCAGGGCTGATTTTAACGTGGGGCAAAAGGGGCAGCTGTAATATTCGTTACACAACAAATTATACATTTATTCCGCAGCAGATCTAATTTCCTCAGTTGAAACTCAAAGTCCATCTGGAATATATAGAGAGAATGCAAATCACAATATGTTGATACATTATATGGAAATTAGAAAGGGTTAAACATATTTAACCAGTTTACACAATAGATTGCACTAGTTTCTTGGGTAATCCATTTACTCAAATTATAAACTAGAATTAGCAGGAAAGCAGTCCCCAGTACACACTACACCTCCACTCCTAGATACACACACACAATGCACCCTTATACACACTACACGCTCCATACATACATAAGCACATGTACACCATAACCTCTATACACACACACTGCAACCAGTATTAAAGACGGCCCTGCATGTCATTACGCTCTCTTTAGCTTTGCAAAACAAACACAGGACATTTTTCGTCATCCAAGAGCTTTTCGTCAGGATTCTGCACATGGAATGCCCTGGAGAGGTATCAAACTAACACACTCACATGTTTTATCAGTATGAGTACCACGTTGTGGCCAGGCTGTTGTTGCTCTTCTGTGGTTTCACTTCTCAATAATAGATTCTCTTGCAGCTCTACTGGGGCAGAAATGTCACTTGTGGCAAAGGTGGCATCCTGTAAAATTTTCACTTGTATTGTCACTGAGCTCTTTGGTATGACCCATTGTACTGCCAATATTTGTCTGTGGGGATTTCATGCATAGGCTCCGGATTGTATGTGCCTGTCAGTGAAAAGAGGGGCTAAAAAACCGAAAGTCAATAATCAGTAGGGTAGCCACACACTGTACTTGGAGAGTCAGGGTAAAGCGGCAGACTTTATTCCAGCATAAATGGAGCCTGCTGCATTATTTACATATATTACCTTGTACGCTAAACGGTCAAAACCTCTATAACTGTTTTTGCAGCTGTTTACTGAAATTAATCTCTTTTTGTGGATGGCATCCAACATTTTTTAGGAAGCCATTACAAGAAACGAAAAGAAGAAGTCATGTGATCTAAAATATGTATAGCAACTTTAGAAGAAAAAAAAAAAAACACTTGCCAGAAGTAGCCGGATTTATATCAGATCAGTTTTGGGGATGTAAAAAGGCAAATATCATTTTTATTTATTTTTATATATTTCATAGCATGTGTCATTGATAGCCATCCAGTGCATGATTGTTAAACAATAAGTTAAACAAAACTAAACAAGCAAAAAAAACCTTTAAATTAAACATTAAACAAGATCCTCAACCCTCTTTACAATAAAAACCAGCAACTAATGTGAGGATTGTCAGGAATTCAAAATGAATGTCAAATTTAAGGTAACATTCCACACACATAAAGCACTTCAACTGAAATGCTTTAAATGTCTGCTGTGTGTCATATTTGTGACAGTTTATAAAAGTGTCGATTTCAGTAGTAATGGGCACTTTTATACGTGAGCGCAGAAACACCTTCCTTGCTGTCACTCAGACCGTTAGTGAGGCTTTCTTCTGCGTCAGTTAGCTCCACAGAGGTAACAGAGGCTGTAGGAACGCTGGGCTAGCACAGGCTTTGGCTTTCACTAGCCTTTCACTAATACAGCTCACTGAGACCCCTAGAAAGCCACTCTCACTTGTAAGCTTGCGGCTCCAACACAGAGGCATCTCATTGAGAAGCGTCTGATTGGAGAATTCCCCGGCACAAAGACTGGCAAAGAGGAGAGGTCTTACAATGGCTGCAGACATCAGATCTGCAGCTTTTGCAACCTGTTTTTAATATGCACCTTCAATTATGGAACGACCTCCCGCACACTTTCAAATCTCACCCCTCACCCCCCCAAGCCTAAAGTCCTTTAAGAGATCCATCTCTACATACCTCAAAACAGAATGCACCTGTCATGGTTGACTATATATTTCTTACCCGTTCTATGTTATATTGTGTATTAATATTGTTTTTGTATTTTATTGTACCATATTGTATCAATGCAATATTTTGTGGACCCAGGACATAACTGATAACGAGAGAAATCTCAATTCATCTTTCCTGGTAAAATATTTTATAAATAAATAAATATGCACCAAAGGAAACGTGGAGACAAAAATAAAACCATGCTTTCTTTGGAGGAAATCTACTAAATTGTAAAAAAAAAAAAAAAAGATTCTTCCTTTTCTCCAAGTCAGCTTCTTTGATTGATTGATTCTTTAGATCAAGAATTTGTCCTCTGGCATCTCCAGTCTGTTTAACCCCTTAAGGACACATGACGTGTGTGACATGTCATGATTCCCTTTTATTCCAGAAGTTTGGTCCTTAAGGGGTTAAAAAGCCTGCATTTGTAAGCACTGCAATGATCAGTGATTTTAGCGCAATCTCCTAGCTTTACGCTCAGATTCCAACAGTGTGTGCCCATCTCCTTCTCGCGCAGGCCACATCACATTTCTAAAGATTGAGCGGTTGCTGTCATCCTTGAATTCCACACAAACCTGAGATCTGTTTCTTCCCAGGAAGAGCTTGAGGGGCTGCACGCAGCTAGCTTCTATCATGGCTCCAGAGTATTTTTAATGTTGGTCAGTAGATCACCAGATGTTTTCAGACTACAGCTTCCACGATGCTTTGTCATTCTAAAGACATGCTAAAGGCATGCAACGCATCATGGGAGTTTTAGTTCTACAACACCTGGGGATCTACCTTTTGGGCATCCCCTAAAGCATTTCAACCAGCTTTCCTGCATTAGAGGACTTACGTTTCCATGAAAAGCGACACTACTATCTGGAAATGTATCCATTTTATTACTAAATATTATAGATGTCAAATTTGCAGAAAAAGATTTACATTAATAGTGCTGCTGCTAATTCACAGACAATAGGCAGCCTTGCATTCTGGTTTAGGGGGGTTTGATTTTATATCATAGACTCATGAAACTGCTAAATAAACTAAATAAACCGATAGCAACCATACCGTGGCTGTACGAATGGGTTGTGACAACAAAGAAGAAGGTAAAATCTTCTCCTTTGGTATCAGTAACAGAAGGGGCAGTCTTAGCTGCTTTAATTTTTGCAAAGTACTTTAGCTACTTTATTGAACAAAAATTGTTATGTTGCTGAGAGAGTCCCTTTAACTCTATCACATATCCTACAAATATACATATCCTCTTAAAGGGACACTATAGCTACCAGAACCATTACAGTTTAATGTAGTGGCTCTGGTGTACATAGCATGTTCCTGCAGCATTAACACTTTTCATAGAGAAGGCCCTGTTTACAGTGCTGGCTAGTTACACCTCTACTGCAGTCACGCAGACGGCCACTAGAGGTGCTTCCTGCGTCAGTTCTGCACTTTTCCAGCTAGCGTATAGACATATCATAAAAAAACTATTTTGTGAATAGGTTGCTTTGCAGAAAAACTAACCATATATAAATTTACACCATTTTTATTTTTCATGTATTCGTTCATCGTGCACAGTATCCTTTAACTTGCAATATTCCACACGGGATCTGAAATGTTAGCATAAAAGTGAAAATGCTATTTTTTTTCACATACAGTAGGTGTGATGCAAACGGTCAAAAACCTTGCCTGTCAGTATTTACAAGGGCCCTGAAAGGATAGTACTAGTACTGCAGTTCACTAAAAATTGCAGCAGAATGTAAAAGGAATGTCTGCATTTAAGCATAATTCCACATACACTAAATGCAGTTAATGATATATTTCTAAAATAAAGTTACTTAATACTGCCATAGCAATCTATATCAATCTCTGGAATGTTAACGTAATGCTAACAGTGAAACAGAAGTAGAATCCATTCACTCCTCCCTCTGTATGAATGCTATCACCCAGTGAAACTTCCTGTACTGTTTGAATGCAGGGAGCGAGACATTTTTAGCAACTTTACAATGATTATATCAGTGACGAGTGCCTTCTGGTTTCTCTAAAGGCTGATCAGATCTAGAGTATAAATCAGGCTGAGTGAGGCTGCATGGACTAAATTTTATACCGCAAATAAAAACGTTTATACTCTATTCATTCAAGAGGTTAAGTTCTATATTATGTTTGTTTTGTTTTTTTTTTGTTTTTTTTACCATTATCTGAAGAATGTTGTTTATTTTATACATTGCAGATCTAAAAAATACATTTTAATTTAGTGTGGTCATTAAACGTTCAGAACCTACACTGTACCATCAGACATGGAACAATAAGCACGTTACAGTCATTACTGTAATCTTAAACTGAATTTCTGCTGGGGGATGTGAGATTTTTAAGATCCATTAAAAGCAAATTATCACCTTATTGCATGTTCTGTTAATTAAATCCGGCGCTATAAGAAACACACCATGACCTGTCCCTGAGATGGAACAAACGGCTAATTTAGATGCAGAATGTTCTCTCAGTATTAGTTTCCCGTGCTAGCACACATGATTATGCAAATCAGAGCCTTTATGAGAAGATTACTGGAGCACAGTGATTCTTTACTGTTGCTGTAAATTATATGTTGCGGCATGCAGCCTCCAGAGTTTCATGTGCCATATATCTTTTCAGTAATGCAGTAAAGTGAGGACAACTGTAAGGACTGGATGTGTATGCAATTACTAAGTGAAAAGGTTCATAATAGGTTTTCATAAAATACTGGTTTTGCGTGTAGTAACCCCTTCTGTGCGAGTCCACCCCCTGCCCCCAAACACCAAGTATTTGTTTTCTAAATAGCCATAAACGTGCCTTTTTTCCTTGCTGAGCCCAAGTTCTTTTTTCATTTTACAAAAAGACTATATTTCAATAGAAATTGGCACTTTTACAAATGAACCTTGTTACACCCACTGACTTTCAAGCAGACAAGAAGTACTGTTCCTTCCTGGTTTGGTTAGCTCAGTAGAGTTAAACTCAAGAGGCAGCAATTACTCCGAGCACCTGACTTGCAATGACTTCTCATTGAGCTGCATTGGGAAGTCTGTGATTGGACAGCCACAGAAAGTCTGGGCGGGGTTAGAAGGGGAGGGCTTGCAAAGGCAGCAAACAAGAGATCTGCACGATTTGCAAGATGTTTTTAGATATCCCTCATTCAAAAAAATGCATGCATGTTTTCATTGAGAGTATATCTACTAAATAGTGGGTGGGTTTGCTTTGTTTTACATTTGGAAGGTGAAACGTCCCTTTAAATCTTGCAGTGTTGGGGTTTATTCACTATAGTAGAGATTGTGGAGAAATGACAAGGGAAACTGCAACCATTTTGCCAGAATTGTGAGATTTGGCTTGCTGGTCCTAAAATGAGCAATCGGCTTTGCAAATACAGTTTGGTGAATAATCCCCTCGGTACTCAGCTTACAACATCTTACCTTTTAAGTAGACCTCTCAGTAAATTTTCGCAATCCAGTTGCTCGTAGTCCTGCCAGCTAACCATGGGTGATTGTGTTTTCAGATAGAGAACAGCCACGTTAGCCAAGCCAATCGGTTCTTATCGGCTTTCAAAATCTATGTTCGTAAAATGTGTGAATCATCCAATAAAGAAAATGGTTCTACTCTACTACAACAAACCTTAGTTATTTGGGTGTGGTCCAACATACAAAAG